ATCGCGGCTGTTGGGGGGGGGGCGAAGTATGAAATTGTCGCCACTTTCGTGAGCTCCTGGGAGGTCTCGTGGAGTGGAGCTGTACGGGGGCACACTTGAGACCGCGCGGCTCTCTGGAGAGGCTGCGAAGTGGTAAAGTCTCGCCACGTTCTTGGTCTCCTCGGAGGTCGCGCAGCGTGGAGCTGTACGGGGGCCCTCTTGCGACCTCGCAGCTCCCTGCGGGGTTGCGAAGTGTTGAATGGTCGCCACTTTCGTGGGCTTCTGCGAGGTCGCGCGGAGAGGAGTTGCATGGGGACCCAGTTGAGACATCGCGGCTCTTGAGGGGGGCTGCGAAGTGTGAAACTGTCGACACTTTCGTGGGCTCCTGGGAGGCCCAGCGGAGTGGAGTTGTATGGGGACCGCTCCGTATGCTTCTGCCTGCGTCCCTAGTTTGCCATTACTGCATGTGCTTTTGCATATTTCTGAGACCGAGTAATTTCAAGGGGTGCTTACTGTGTTTGGGTTATCGTTTTGAATGGAGCGCTGTGGTCCCCACCTGTTCTGCTTCTGCCTCCCCCCTCCTCCTGCCTGCGTGGCTGTAAACTGCGGAACTGTCACCATTTTCGCGGGCTCCTGGGAGGTCCAGCGGAGTCGGAGGGGCACGCGCACCCGGACGAGACCTCGCTGCTCCCTGCGCGGCTGCAGACTGCGCAACCGTCGCAACGTTCGTGGTTTCCTGGGAGGTCCAGCACGCGCACGCAGACGAGACCTCGCTGTTCCCTTGGGTGGCTGCGGACTGCGCAACTTCGCCACCCACCAAAGCACCCCAGCCCAACCCGAAGGCTTCAATTTGCCCTCCATTTCAAGTGGGGCGGGGTCGGGGAACACTGACATAAACACACATGGTTTCCGTACCCCCCAAGCCCGATGTTCGGCTCAGATTCGGGTCTTCGGGCTGGGTTGGGGTGGTCTGGTAGCTTAGTTGCAACTGCTGCATCTTTCGCGGGCTCCGTGGAGCTCCCACGGCGCCCAGGGGCGCGCGCGCCCAGACGAGACTTCGCGACTTCCTGGGGGGCTGCGAAGTGTGCAGTCGTCGCCCTTTTCGTGGGCTCCCCGGCGGGGGGTCGGGCGGCGCGCGCACCCAGGCGAGAATTTCGCCTGCTCCTCGGGCGGCCGCGGGGTGCGCAGCCGTCGCCGCTGTCGTGGGCTCCTGGGAGGTCCGGCGGAGTCGGGGGGCACGCGCGTGCAGATGTTACCAGCCTCGAACGTATCCCTATCCCTAAGATTGACACGTCAAAAGGCGATGACAATCTTAGGGATCCGCCCTCAAAAATTAAGGGAATCCCTAAGATTGGCATCGTGATGAGGAGGTGCCCAGCATAGGGATAGGGATATTATCCAGGCTGGTAAATATGAGACGTCGCTGGGCGGCTGCGAGCTGTGCAACTGTCGCCACTTCCATCGGCTCCCGACACGTCCAGCGGAGTCGGGGGGCACGCGCACCCAGAAGAGTCCTCGCTGTTCCCTTGGGTGGCTGCGGACTGCGCAACCATCGCCAGTTTCGTTGGTTGCAGGGAGATCCTGCGGAGTCGGGGGGCACGCGCACCCAGACGAGACCTCGCTGCTCCCTGCGTGGCTGCGGATTGCGCAGGCACGCGCACGCAGACGAGACCTCGCTGCTCCCTTGGATGGCTGCGAATTGCGCAACCGTTCGCAAGTTTCGTGGGCTCCTGGGAGGTCCAGCGGAGTCTTGGGGGCACGCGCACCCAGACGAGACCTCGCTCTTCCCTGGGTGGCTGCGAACTGCGCAACTATTGCCTCTTTCGTGGGCTCATGGGAGGTCCAGCGGAGTCGGGGAGCGCGCGCACCCAGACGAGACCTCGCTGCTCCCTGGGCGGCTGCGGACTGCAACAACGTCACCACTGGCGTGGGCTCCTGGGATGTCCAGTGGAGTCGGGGGGCACGTGCGTCCAGATGAAACTTCGCGGCTCTTGGCGAGGCTGCCCCTTGCACAGTTGTGGGTATCTTCGTGCGCAAGGGTCATTCCCTTTAATAGCCGCCCTGCGTGGAGAAGGGGTCGGGTAGTCTCAGACCTTCGCGGTGAAGGCATCCCCATTCGAAGCTCCTTGCTACAAACGGTTCTAATTATCAGCTTCCACTGCTGGAGAGTTCCTGACTACGGATCCCCGAACACTAGAAAGCAGCCCTTGCTGAAGGAGCGGGCCCCTGATGCCACGAAGCGCTGTGTATTGGTTGCTTTGTTTGTTTTCCGTTGTCCGGGAAGCTGGGAAGCAGAGACACACCGTGTTTATGTTTTCACAGGTTTCGGCGGCTCCAGTGCCCACCAGGGCATGCCCCCAGCACTCTCTCGGAGCCTGCATAGCCAAAAAACAACAACAGCCAACAACCAAAAATACACCGTGATGCAGTGTGTTCCAGATCAACAAACATGCACAGCGTTTCGTTGCACCGAGGGGCCGTTCCTGCAGCACAGAGGCCTTGGTATTGCTTGTTAGATGTATTGCATATTCTGTTCGTAAGGACTCCTTCGTCAGGATGCCTTTAATAAGGGACCCTTACTCGGGTCTCTACTAGAGTCATGTTTTCTTCCGTACTGCAAGAAATCCTTACACGGTGTCCCTTATTCGAGGAAGCCACACTAAGGATCCCATATTGAAGGTATCCTGACGAAGGAAGCCTCATGGAGTCCATCGCTAAGGACCCCTTCTGAAAGGAGCGGGCACTCGGTGCCACGAGACGCTTTGTATGCTGGTTTGTTTGTTGCTTTGTTTCTTGCAATATATGCCCTAGGAGGCCGCGAGACACTGTGTACGCTTGTTTGTTTGTTTGTTTGTGTGTTTCTTTGTTACTTTGTTTGTTTGTGTTTGTTGTTGTTATGGTTGTTGTTGTTGTTGATGCTGCTATTGTTGTTGTTAGGGGGGAGGTCGGAGGCTACAGTGCCCACCGCGGCCTGCCCCCCCCCACCCCCCCCCACACCCCTCTCTGCGCCTCCAAAGCCCCACAAAACGACATGCGTCCCAGACCAAACGCCAGTATAAAACACAGCAGATTCACAGCGTTTCGTGGCACCGAGGGCCCGCTCCTTTGGTAAGTGGTCCTTAATCATGCTGTCTCTGTAACCGTTGAGCGGCCCCGAGGAACAGACACCGCCGCCCAAGTGTTTTTGGAGCGCGATCACTTTGATGCAGATGTGGGGAAGTGTGAGCGGAGTGGTGTGAACGAGGGAAAGTGGATGGGGGGGAAGCACCGCGATTTCGTTTTTGGCTCCTGGAGAGGCTCACGGGGGGCACACCGGGGGGGGCCCCGGACGGCCAACAAGAATTAGCTAGCGAAGGCGCCCCAGGGAGCTCGGGGGGGTCCGGGAGGCAGGCGAGACGGCCGCAGAGAGGGAGGCCTTCGCAGGAACGTGGCTGCTCAAGCTGGCCGCGAGGACCGGCGAAACGAGGGGCCCCGAGGGACCCCCCCAGAAGCGGCGTGGCTGGCTCGGGGAGAGGTTGCCGAGAGGGCCCCGCGGCGCCCCGAGAGAGAGCACCGGCAACGGAGGTCGTTTTTGGACGGGAGCGGTGGCAGGAGCGGGCTGGAGTTAAGTCGGGCCGGTCCCTCTACAGGGGGAATATATAATCAAAAAATAGTCTGGGGATCGTGTTCAGACTGTTGTTGAACATGTTCGGAGTATTTGGGGACTACTTTTCATTGTTCGTCCAAAATCCCCCTGTAGGGGGACAGGCCCGACTTAAGGCTGGAGGAACGAGCGGTCCCCGGGGAGGGCCCAGGAGGGGCGCGGAGAGGCGAAGGGGCAGGGATCGGTATAGAGAGTGAGCTGGCGAGGGGGCTCGCGAGGAGCAGTCCTCGCGGCTCATGCGGTGGTGGTCCCGCACGCTGTGTGTTCTCTCTTCAGTCGTCGTGTCGCTCACTCCGCCAGCACATCTTGTAGCACTGGTGTCATACGTGGGCGAGCTCGGGGCAAGAGAGACGGACGGGCAGGAGGATGAGGAAGAGGAAGAGGGGAGGATGAGGATGAGGCCTCTCCACGGCTTTGGGGGGCATTGTTGGGGCTAGTATTGGTCTCGGACAGGGCGCCTCGTCTGGAGGCGTGCGGAGGTCTTTTGGTAAGGATTCCTTCAGTAAGGGCTCCTCCGTCAGGATGCCTTGTGTATAAAGTCCTTAGTAAGAATTCTTCTAGTAAGGAGTATTGGGTAAGCACCCTTTCCGAGTAAGGGTGCCTTTGCTAAAGGAGTCCGTTGTATTTTTTTTTGGACAAGGAGGAATCCTTAGGGAAGAAGCCTGTAGTCAGCCTCGGTTTCTCATCTCTGTGCGAACGTTGCGTGCTGTGAGTAGAGGGCAGGCCAAGGCCAGCCACCTGAAGACCGAGTATATGCTCGATCCTCCCCCGCTCTGGGCCGTCGCTGGGGGGGGTCGAGCTGTAGGTGTGTGTATAGTATATTTACATATATATATATATTATAGATAGATTCTCATCTATGTATATGTATATATATATGTATGCACACACGCAGTCATACATACACATATTTGCCTATAGATGTCGAGGCGCTGTGGAGGGTGATGGAACCTGTGGTGTCGGTAGGGATCCATGGGAAGTAGTTGGTGCCTATAGCGCACGTGATTCCTGGAGAATATGACGGAAGTGTGTGTGTGGGGGTTCTTTGGGATATTAAAGAGATACATAGTTGTAGGTATTCGTAGAATCGAATGGAAGCCTCTAGAATTCCACACATGTGTATAGGAGTTCTTAGGGGTGGCCTGGGAATTCGCAGCAAGCCGTGCCTGGTCGAGTCACTCCAGGCCAGCCCCTGCCAATCCTGACCAGTCGAGTCCAATCGAGTGGGCCCAGCGATCACTACCCTGCCGAGTCCAGTCCAGCCAAAGTCAACGCTTCCCTCCTGGTCAAAGGCGGGACGCGTGAGTGAGCGAACGCTGCGAATTTTGGGGGTAAGCAGAGATCCGCGAGCGGCGCCAAACCAGCGATAGCCGGTCAGGTGAATGAGGCGTTCGCCAGCCTTCACGCAGAGGTGCTGCCCGTGCATCCGATCCAGATGCCCCAGCGCCACAAGGATGGCTTGATGTTCGATCATTGGGAGATTGCTTGGTGGAAGCTCCAAATCTGGAACCTCACCCAGTTCGAGAAGCTCATCTGGCTCGATTCGGATGCCATTCTCACCCGGAGCATTGATTGGTTATTCGACCGCCCATGGATGTGGTCGCAGCGGGATGACTGGTTCTGCGATCTGAATGTGCCCAAGGTGTGTTCGGGCATCGTGCTAATCTACCCAGACGAGAAGGATTTTGAGGGACTCTTGAAGTACGCGGCCGAGGAGCTCAGGGACAGACTAATAATTTTGGTATGAACCAGTCCATGAGCTGGCCTCCCCTTCTCGCTTGCAGTGTTGTACCTGTCCCCATTGTAAGAGAGGGGGAGCAGTCGTGATAGTTGGATCCTTCTGGGGCAGTCTTGAGACGTTCAGCTGCCTCTAGCCGACCGTGCCAACATGTCAGCGCCACATAGAAATGTAGCTTGATTGATTTTACTTACCTTTCTTGAAACAGCTCGGCACAGCTATGGCCCTACGGGTTTCCCGCGAGGCGCTTTGGAATATGTGGGGCCGTTTTGGGTTCGGTGGTTCTACACAGCTAAAGCATCGGTATAATCATCGTAGATTCGTCCGAGAAGCAGCGCCGAGATTGTTGAGCGTGGTTCGGCTGTCAGGTTGCATGCTTGCAGCGTGTCATGTTGGGGGGCTCTTGGACTTTCATCGCGGGCGCCTGTGGGGTCCCTTGGGGCCTGTCAGGTCAGGTCTCTTGGGCCCCTTTGGGGGCAACTGGTTGGGGGGACCTCTGGAAGTGACTGGAGGCCCCTGGAGGGCCTGTTCAGGACCTGCGCGCCGTCTCGTGCGCGATGGTTCAGTCGAGCTCTCCCTCAGATGCCAGCATTAAGTTGGGCCTCTCCCTCTACAGGAGGAATATTTGAAAATAGTCAAATAATAGGCTGGGGACGATTATTCTATAACTTCTTGACTATTATTGAATTGTTTTGGATACTTTCTGGGTTTTTCGTCCACAATCTCCCAGTAGGAGGACACGCCCGACCTAATGCCAGCATTTTCGCCCTGGCACCCCCCGGAAGAGTCTTGGGACCCTGTTGGATCTGTCCCAGGGTTGTGTTGGGTCGTCTTGTGGGGGTTCTTCGGGCCGCATTCGGCCCTCAGAAGATTACATAAAAGCTGTCTTGTGGGTGTGTCATGTGGTTCTCTTGATTCTATGGTATGTAGTCCGGTCCTCGTGGGCCAGTCTTGAGGCGTCTTGGGGCCGTCTTAGATTGGTCTTGAACCATCTTAGGACAGGAGGGCGCTGGATACCACATCGTCGGGGCGGCGATCCCTGTGACGGGGTCGAGCGGGAAGACGGACGCAATAGGAATTTTGCAGAAACCTTGACAGGTAGTGTGCAGGCATTCTCAAACGCCCCTGTAGGTCTGCGCGGTTGCAGATTATACTTAGTCTGTCGTTCCATAACGCTGCTTACCCGGGGATGTTAATAATGGAAGCGTTGTTAGTGGTCATGATGACTAGATCTACGAATGTAACGACTATGCACCGCAAGGACGATGCGCAGGAGTTGCAAGAGGATAATGGCGAGGATGGCTACGACAATGGGAAAGGGAGTGCCCAGCATTGCAATGATCGTGCCCCGATGTATGTACCCCCCTCTGCTCCTTGACGTTCGGCGTGTGGGGCCCCGAATAGCTTACCTCGACGTTCTCGCCCCCACTCAGCAAAACCTCACTGGCGTGCGGGAGCGCAAGAGCAGCGCACTCGTGGCTCCCTGGCTCGGAGGTTCTTCTGCTAGTCTGACTCCAGGGAGGCCGAGGGAGAGTAATCGGTAAGACTGGGGTGATTCGGATCAGTTCTTGCGCAAACAGTGTTTGCGTGGGCCCTTATACGATTAGGTGCAAGGTTGCTGAGGGATTGACTCTGAGGTGTTAGGGTTCGTTTGGCCACGACGGTGCCTCACTATTTTCTGGTTGGTTTTGAAGCGTTGGTTGACCTGTGGGCCACATTGCTCTGGAATGCTGGACTTTGGAGGTGGTAAATATGTGCGCCTTTCGTCCCGTTTTTGATCTGGCACGCCAGTAACATCGACTGGCCGCACTTGCCTGAACATGCTCCAAAGTTGTGTCAGATTTTTGCATTTGTGCCCACACGCTCCCACGTGCCACCAAATGCGCCCGCTTGCGCCAAGTTCCTTCTACTTGCCCCGACTTGCGGCCACCTGCACGATCCTGATTTGCTGTCGCATGAGTTAAGCTATTGGTTGTAGCCCACGAGCTGGTATAAAAGCCAAGGCATGGCGCATGGGCAGATACATACCCATGTTGGCGAAGGCTGAAGCAACTTTTCACACGAGCTTGGCTACGCTAAACTATGTCTATATATCTATGTGAATATATATATATATATATATATTATATATATATATATTATATATATATATATATATATATATATATATATCGAAGTAGGCCAGGGGGGGCGGGGGCTGGGCCGGTGCCGTACTCCCCCATAGGGGGGATTGGGGGGGTCTCAGGGCTCCCGGGACTGCCCGGGCCCGCTCCCAAACACGCCACGACACGCCAAGAGGGTCCTAAAGATTGCCAAGACAGCCCCCAGAAGCCCCGGACACGCCGAAGATGGCCTTTGGACGGCCGACGACGCCGCCAAAACGCCCCAAGAGCGCCTCCAGAGGCCCCTCCAAATGGCCCCAGAAGCTGAAAATCATACATTTTCCGGTGGTGTTTGATGCATGTTTGCGCTCTCCCATGTTCCGCCTCCCCACGGTCCCCGACGGCGTCAGAGGCCCTTCAGATCGCTCCAAGACGGCCGAAGAGGCTCCCAAGAAAGCCCAGAGACGGCCCAGGAGGCTCCCCACAGTTCAAGAGGGCCTCGAGAGCGCCCGAAGAGCGCGACGCCATCAAGAGGCTCCCAAGAAGCCCCAAGAGGCTCCCCGGAAGCCCCAATAGGCCCCCAAGGGGCCCCCAGGGAAGCCCCCTGCGGGCCCCCAAGACACCTCGGTAAATCGTATTTCCCAGACAGCTTTCCGGGACCATGAATCCTTGGGATTCCGCCCACCGCCCCAACCATGTTTCCAGTAGGCTTGCCGACAAGGCCCAAAGGGGCCCCTCGGTAAGCCCCCAGAGGCCCACCTCGCAAGAGAACCGAACAAATCATGTTCCCGGAAAGCTTCCCGGGAACATGTTTCTCGGGTTGCCGCCCTCTGTCCAAACCATGTTCCCTAAACACTTGCCAGGAACAAAAAAAATTGACAGTCCCAAGCAGCGCTACGTGCCGCCACGCTCGGAAACGCAACAGGCCCCGAAGCCTCCGGAGGCGCCCAACGACACCCCAACAACTCATGTTCCCAGGAAGTCTCACGGCCAGTGCTGCCGACGCTGAAGGAGGACGGTCCAGGACACCCAAAAAATCTTCCAAGCAGGCTTCCAAGAGGGCGCCGAGACAGCCCAGGGCCGCCCCCAGACGGCCCAAGAAAACCCCACCACAGACGAAAGTAGCCGCAAGAGGCCTCCAAGAGGCCCCGAAACGCGGACATATCGTTCGAACACGTCCAAGATGGCCTCCGGACGGCCCACAAGGCTTCCAACACGGCCCAAAGGGACGCCAAAATCATTGATTGCCCTTAGGTTTTTGATGGATTTCAGCAATTCTGCCTGCATGTTCAGGGTCCCGACTGTCCCGGACACTCAAATATCGCCCCAACAGGCTCCCAGGAGTCGAGGGCGCCGAGATGGTCCAGGGACGCCTTGCCGCGGGCACGAGGCGGGGCCCAGGACGGGGCCCTCGCACCGGGGGGCGGGGGCCTTGCCGCGGCGCTGGGGGCCCTGTAAAGTCGCCCGAAGACGGCCCTGGATTGCCAGAAATGGCTTTTCCAGACCACGAAAACGACCAATGACCGCCCGAGATCACCCCAGAATTAGTCTCTGACTGTCCAAGAGGACTCCAAGACTCCCCGAGAGGCCTCCAAGATGGCTCCCAAGGATCCCCCGGAGGCACATCTAATTTGTTTTCCTCTGGTCTTTGAGCGATTTTCGAGTTTTCGCCTTTTCGGTTTCCTGACGCTCCGCGACGGCCCAAGAGGCCTCAATTTCCGCTCCAAGACATCCCCTGAGGCCTCGAAGACGGTCACAAGACAGCCCACGAGGGCCCCAAGACGGCGCCAGAGGCGCCCAAGGCGGCCCGAGAGGGCCCCAAGACGACCCCAAGATGGAGTTGACACGAGCCAAAAATCCGAGCCTTCCACCCCGAGAGGCTCTCAGGAGGCCCCGAGAAGCTTCTAACAGGCTCCAAGAGGCCCCAAGAAGCCCCCCAGGGGGCCGAAGAGTATCCAAGAGGCCTCCCACGAATGCCCCAATAGGCCAAAATCAATGTCTAGCCATAGGTTTTTGATTGATTTTAGAGTTTTCAGCCTTTTGGCGTCTTGACGCTCCAAGACGGCCCCAAAGGTCTCCAAGACCAATCCAAGATAGCCCAAGACGGCCTCCAACAGGGCCCAAGACAGTCCGAGAGGGCACCAAGACGGCCCCAAGGGGGGCCCAAGAGGGGTAAGTCGAACCGAAAATCCGAGCCCTCCACCCCGAGAGGCTCTCAGGAAGCCCCAGAGGCCCCCAAATAGGACCCAAGAGGCCCTCAAGAAGTTCCCCAGAAGGCCGAAGAGGTTCCAAGAAGCCTCCCAAGAAAGCCCGAAGAGGCACAACTCATTGTTTTCCCAGTGGCGTTTGATGGATTTAAGAATTCCCAGCCTTTTGGCATCCCCACGCTCCAAGACGGCCCAAGTGGCCCCCAAGACCGCTCCAGGATATCCAGGATAGCCGAAGAGGCCTCCAAGAGGGCCCCAAGACGGCCCACGAGGGCCCCACGACGGTGCCTGAGGCGCCCAAGACGGCCCGAGAGGGCCCCAAGAGGGCCCCAAGAGAGCCCCAAGAAGGGGAACGCGAACCCAACAGCAGAACCTTCCGCCCTAAGAGGCCCACAGGAGGCCCCAAGTGTCCCCAAGTGGTCCGACGAGGCCCCCAAAAGCCTTCCACCAGGCCCCAAAGGGCTCCCACGAGGCGCACACGGGGCCCCAAGATAGCCGAACCGTGCTCTCGATGCATCAAAATTGCTTCGAGGAGGCCCCGGGAGACCTCCAGATTGCCCCAATGTGGCCGCCGGGCCTCCACGCAGGCAAGACGGCCAATTGACTGCTTCGGGCTGCAGAACTTCACTGTCCGACTGCCCGGAGAACCCTGGCGATGCCCCCAAGG